CATCTGCTTTCTTTTGTTGGCCATTTGCTTGGAGTATTGTATTCCATCCCTTCACTCTAAGCCTATGTTTGTCTTTGTAGCTGAGGTGCATTTCCTGGAGGCAGCATATTGTTGGGTCTTGTTTTTTAATCCATCCAGCTACTCTGTGTCTTTTGATTGGAGAGTTCAGTCCATTTATATTTAGAGAGATTTTTGTTGCATGAGGGCTTAATGCTGCCATTTTATCTCTTGTTTTCTGGTTGTTCTATGTTTCCACTGTTTCTCTTCCTTTGTATTTCTGACTGCCATTTCATTTTGTTGGTTTTCTGAGAGGGATTTCTCAGTTCTCTCTCTTTTTGTGAATTGTGGCTCTGCTCTGATTTTTTGTTTAGTGGTTACCGTGAGGATTGTATGAAAGATATTGGAGATGAGATAGTCAATTTTCTTATAGCATCTCATTTCCATTAACCTAAGCAGGTTCCTTCCCTTTCTTCTCCCCTTCTGAGTAATTGCTGTTACATATTGTTCTGTTTTTAATTTTGTGGGTTTGTGACTAAGTTGAAGTGTTTATCATTACTTTTGATGCTTTCCTTCCCTTTCTCTTTTAAGTTGTAATTGAGCTTTTGTCTCTCTGTTCTAGTAGAGAGAAGCAGGTTTCTGATCATGTCTGTTTATTTACCTCCTTGCTCAGAACTTTGTAGACCTTTGTCTTTTTTGTTGCAGGTGTGAGGGCATCTTTAATTATTTCTTGTAGGAGAGGTCTAGCAGTGATGAACTCTCTCAGCTTTTGTTTATCTGGGAAAGCTTTTATTTCTCCATCATATCTGAAGGAAAGTTTTGCTGGATAGAGTATTCTTGGCTGAAGGTTTTTGTCTTTCATTATTTTGAATATATCATTCCATTCTCTCCTAGCCTGTAAGGTTTCTGCCAAGAAATCCACTGAAAGCCTGATAGGGTTTCCTTTGTAGGTTATTTTCTTTTGCCTTGCTGCTCCTGATATTCTTTCTTTATCCCAAACTTTTGCCATTTTTACTGTTATATGCCTTGGAGAGGGTCTTTTCACGTTGATAAACTTGGGCATTCAATTAACTTCATTTATCTGTAAATCTGACACTATCCCCATTTTTGGGAAGTTCTCAGCAATTATTTCTTTGAATAATCTCTCTGCTCCTTCCTCCCTCTTTTCTCCCTCTGGGATACCTATAATCCTTATGTTGCTTTTCCTAATTGAGTTAGATATTTCTCGAAGAATTCTTTCATTTTTAAAAAATCTTACTTCTGTCTCCTCCTCCATCTGTAGAATTTCTACCTTTTTATCTTCAAGAAGACTAATTCTTCCCTCCATAAGACCAATTCTATTTCTTAATGATTCTAGATTATTATTTATTTCATTAATTGTGTTTTCCATATCCTGAATTTCTGCTTGATTTTTTTTTTTTTATAGTTTCAATCTCTTTGGTGAGACCTTCATTCTATTGCTGAGCTCCTTGAATTGTCTTTCCATGTTTTCTTGTAAGTTTTTGTTTCCTTATGATGGCTATTTTGAATTCTCTGTCATTTAGGTTGTATATTTCTGTGTCTTCAGTGTTGGTTTCTGGAGAATTGTCATTATCCTTCTTGTCTGAATTGTTGCTGCAGTTTCTCATGATGTTTGATGAACTGTTCTTTTGTTGGGGCATTCGTGGTATTCTTAGGATGTGTATTCCCCCTGTTACTGCTGGGGGGAGCAGGAGCAGTGTTTCTGGCCCCACTTCACCTACGGGAAGCTGTGGGTGTATTATGGGTCCTTGCCCAAGCCTGGGATGCATTCAGGCACTTGTGTGGACTCTCCTTCTTGAGCAGAGCTTCCTTACTAGGCTAGGGCCACTCTTTGGTGCCTCAGGGATGCTCAGAGCTCCCCTTCTCCACCAGAAAGTGATCACCAGTGGGCTCAAAGCCACTGTGCCTATTCCTGTAGCTGCTGGGATGTGGTCTTTCTTTGGGAGCACTGCTGCACTGTGAGCATTCATGCATGCCTGGAAAGTGTTTGCACCAGCGTGGAAATCTGCTGAAGTCTTGTTTAAGATCTGCAGTCCTTGGGGCTGCTGAGCTGGTGGGTGGGGATGAGCTAGGACCTGGGCTATGGCTGCTCCCTTATGGCACAGGGGAATGGTGGGTTCCTTCTCTCCATAGGAGAACAACCATGAGTGTGGGCTAAATGTTCCCTCCTCCTCCTCTTACAGTCGCCACACTCTGTGTTCCCACTTTCTGGGCACTTGCACCACATTGGAAAGTGTTTGTGTGCATGCATGGGGCTCCCAGGGAAGAGCAGGGTGTGCTCACCTATCTCTGCCACTTCCTAGGGGGCCAGACCATCCACCCTCAGATGTATAGCTATGTGTGTCTCAAGCATCCTGTTGTGCTGTGTGGGCTTCCTCCATTGGTCAGTGAGTGTCCATTTAGTTGCAGTTCAAAATGGGGAGAGAATAAAGGAACAGCTCACTCTGCCATCTTGCTGATGTCACTTTTCCCATCTTCCTCTATTTTATATGTGGGATGCCTGCCACAGCATGACTTGACAAGCAGTGGGTAGGTCTGTGCCCAGGATCCCAACCAACGAACCCCAGGTCTCTGAAGTGGAGTGCATGAACTTAACCACTATTCCATCGGGTTGGCACTGGACCCTCTATTCTACCATAAAACATTGCAAAAAGAAATCAAAGATATTAATAAATGAAGAGGTGTAACATGTTCATGGATTGGAAGACTCAATGTTTTATTCAAACATAGATTGAATTATCTATAGATTGAATGCAATCCCAATCAAAATTCTAAGAGATTTTTTTGAAGAAATTAGCAAGCAGATTTTAAAATTTATAAGGAAAGGCAAAGGACTTAGAATACCCAAAACAATTTGAAAAAGGAAAATAAAATTAGAGGAATGAAATTACTTCTGTTGAAGACTTACTATAAAGCTACAACATTTCAGAATATAATTTTAGTTTTAAAGAAAAGTTGTAAAGATAGTACAGAGAGTTTCTGTGTACCCTTTTGTCAGTTTCCCCTAATGGTAACATCTGCCACAACTATAGTACATACATGGTCAGACTAGGAGATTGACATTGGTACATTATTATTAACTGAAAGCCAGACTTTATGTGAATTTCACCAGTTTTTCCACTCATGTCTTTTTCTGTTCCAGGATAACATTGCATTTAATTGTCATGTGCACTTGTCTTTGACAGTTTCTCAGTCTGTCTTTGTTTTTCATGGTCTTGACAGAGTGGCTTAATTTCAAAGAATAGTATACAGCTGTGAAAAAGAATGTACTTGAGGTACTTGATAAAACATGGCACATTCAAAAGGGATGATTAAAGAGACTTAAGGAAGGGACTACTTATAAAGGTAGGTAAAAGGGGTGGTGAAGCACGAGGGGCTAGCAACAGTAGGAAGGGAAATTCTGAAATACCTGTCTTTGTAGGAAAGGGTCACTGCTAACCTGAGTCTGTCAAAGAGGGAACCAGAAGGACAAATACTCTAACCCTACCCAACTCCTTCTTCCCCTAATCACCTGCAAGAACCTCCCATTGACGAAACTCAGCCTGAAGTCAGAAGGCAAGGAAGCCTGGTTGATTCAAACCACTGAGATTAGCTTCACGGTATACAGTGCAAAGTGTGAAAGGTGAGAGTGATCCTGAAGAGACAGAAGGAAATAGTCCAGCAGAATTATGCATCACTTAAAAATCCCACCCTGGATAAAATCAAATGTCCTTGTGAGGGTCAACGAGGGCTATATAACATAGCACCTGCCTTCCTGTCTAATTTAATCTCCTATCAGGCCCCACATGCAACTTGTGCTTTAATCCTACCAGTGGACTTCTACTTACTCAGAGTCTCCAAGCTCTTCCCTCTACCTGAATTTTTTACCTTTGCTTTACGTTTCCATTCTTCTAGATTTGGCTCAGCCTTCATCTCCCTTATCTTCAAAGCATTTCCTGATGCTTCCCCGAACTTAGGCTAAGCTAAGCCTTACTCCCTCTGATCCCTATATCTTTCCTTAATTCCTTAAATGATAGCACATCTTATAATTTTTTGTAGTCGATAATATTTACTTCGTCCTCTCAAGCAGTCCCTGAATAAAACATGTGTGTCCTTGTGTAGGAGGTTTGAGGATTTCAGGGCTGATCAAGGAAAAAGACATGACCACAAGATGGCAGTAGCGTATTACTTTATTTGGGTGATTGACAGGCGTGTGTGCAGGGGAAGTCCCCTGTGGCAGGAGACCATCCAGAGGGAACACCCTCTGGATGAGTGGCAGGAGACCACTCAGGAGGGAAGGAGGATGAGGGAACTCCCAGGGGGTCAGAGAAGGGCCTACATGTCTAAGTGATATCAGTGCTGCAGTGGGCAGTCTCTGAATCAGAGAGCTCCAATGAGCAGAGTCAGCTTGAGGTCTTTATAGCCTTGGAGTTTATCTTTCTAAGGCTAACAGATATTGGGGTCAGTTTTACAAGGCGCAAAGTGGGCAGGCACTAAATGGCTGAAAATATGCTTATTTGGATTATAGTAAAAACAATTGTCTGTATAAAATTTCGAGTTTGGCACCGGTGGGCTTTGGAGCTAATGGGTCCCAGGCTACTGTGAAGAAGTAAACAACCTAAGAGCTCATATAAAGAGGCTGTCTTTTGCTCATTTATATAACAACCGGAGTCCATGTCTTATATTGCTCTATATCCACAACACTTAGCAGAATTCCTGTCTCACAGCAGAGACTCAACTGATAATTAAGCAAATGAAGGAAAGAAGAGAGGAAGGGAAGAAGTCCAATACACTCTTGGTTCTTTTTCCTTTCTTTCTTTTTTTTTTGTGATGAGGAAGATTGGCTCTGAGCTAACATCTGTGCCAATCTTTCTCTATTTTTCGTATGTAGGATGCCGCTGCAGCATGGCTTGATGAGTTGTGTGCAGGTCTGTGCTTGGGATCCGAACCCGTGAACCCTGGGCCACCGAAGTGGAGCATGTGAACTTAACGACTATGCCACCGGGCCAGCCCCTACTCTTGGTCTTAAATTTTCCTTTTCATTTTTCTTTGCTTTATAGCGTTGTACTACTTGAGACGTTTGTTATTCAAAAAAGTGAATTACATGTTTTGTGTTATTTCTAACAAATATTTACTTTAAACTTTTGGCAAAACATTAGTTTGGAGATTCATTTACAGAACATATACTAATTCTAAAACTCCCGTAGAAGATGCAAAGTATAGTGTTTAGTGGGTTTGGTTTAATTATCTGGGTTACAGAAATGCTCATTACAGAAAGCAATGCAACAGAGGAAGAGAAAAGGCAGGTGAGGAACTGACAAGCTTTTTGAATGTTTATTCTAATTCATATGGTAGCAGAAACTCTTTTCACAAAAGCAAATCAGCCAATGTTTTGGCAGTTTTTGTAGGATAAGAGCAATTTAGTAAAAACTTCCTCTTTTATGCTTTCTAGGTAGAGAACGGGGTTGTTTGCTCTCTTGAATGCAATACATATCTTTTTAAAGCTGTTTGCTGCCTCTTGGAAGAGCTCGAGGGCAAGTTCTAGTTTATATCTGTTTGTCAGTATGAACCTGGCTCCTTGAGATGCAGCCTCAGCCTCAGTATGGATCACTCGCAGAATTTCATGGAAGTAACTAGAACTGTAACCCTCATTCTGTTGTTCTCTTATGTGTATGAGTTCTTCAACCAATTTCATAATTTGAGCTGTTGTCTTCTTTATAATATCTTCTTCAAAGTCTTCCACAGAGGGTCCATATACTTGGAACTTTTGAGAGGTGATAACATGTTTGGAATAATTGATAGAAAATGTTTTCCTTGTATTACGAGATCTGATTTTGTTCACAATATTGGGATGCTGTTTAAAATGCTCCAGGAGGATGTTCTCTAGCTCAATATCAATATCAGGACCCTCAGCAGACGGGAGTGTGGGAGGCAACAGAATGCAGATGTTCTCTGACCAGATCTTGTTGAACATCTCTCTCAGCTCCTTATCATGTAACTCTTTCCCACTGGGGGACACAGCCATCTCTCTGATTTTTTCTAATAGCTTATGTTCAAATTTTACTTTTTCCTCCTTCAAAAGGTCTTGTATTTTCTTTCCACTAATTAAATACTCACATTTTCTCATAGTTTCTCTTATAAGCTCCTCTTTAAGATTCTTCAGATTAGCTTCAAATCTTCCTTTCCACTGAGCCAAGATATCTCTATCTCTGTCTTCTCGAAAATACCTTTCAAGTTCTTGCTTAATGGCTTCATGTCTTCCTGCACTTCGATTCTCAATTGAGCTTCTCTTGATCTCCTCAACTTCTCCATTCTGAATCTTGTTGGTCAGCTGATTCTGCAAGTCCAGCATATGACTTCTCAGTTCCCAGGTCCAGCTGTTGTACATGGTCTCCAGTTTATTCATAGCCTTGACTTCCTGGGTGTTCCTGAACCTGAAAATGAAGTTCTCATTCACTAAGGCCTTCCATAAATCCTGTATCCACACTTTAAGTTCTGATATCTTCAAAATACCTCCCTTGGATTCTTCTTTGGCATGCTTAAGAATCCTGCTTTTCAGCTCCTGAACATTGTGGCTATAGCAGGGATTAGGAGGGGCCATTGGGGGAGAACCTTCCCAGAGGTGAGCAAAGTAATGGATGTGGGTCTTGACATCAAACTTAATGACATCACTGAAGTGGCATACATCTGAGCACTGTTCTTGTTCAGCTGCAGCAAGTGTCATTTCATCCAATCTCTCTTGCAGCCATCTTTGCCTTTCCATACTTTGATTTGTATCTATAATTTCTTCTGTGTTCTGATGAACAAACAGGCACCTTGGGGAGATGTTCAGTTGTTTCATCCTGAGAAAGGCATGGACAGCTATTTGCAGAATATCTTGTATTTCTGATAGATCATTCCCAAAAACATTGATTAGAGTTAAGTTTCCAAGTCCAATGATAAAGGTTGCCAACTCATTTTCCTCACTATGTGCTTTGTTAATGAACTCTGAGGGCCGAAGTCCTTCTGTGTCCACAACAAGCACAAAATCAAAGCCCAGCTGTTCCTTGAGCATCTCTTCCACCTTCAGGAGCTGCATATGGGCCCCCCGGGTGCACCCCTCAGCACTGAGACTGAACTGAAGCCCAAACATTGCATTCAGCAGAGTGGACTTTCCTGAGTTCTGTAGGCCAAGGACAGAGAGAACAAACACCCGTTTGTCTCTAAGTTTCTCAGAGACCTTGTCTAAAACAGCTGCCACCCACTTCAGGGGCACATAAGATGCATCTCCATCCATCAGCTCAATGGGAGTTCCAGATACCATCAGGTCAGCAGCCATTTGGGGAAGGGAGAGAAATAGTGTATTTGTTTGGGAAGAAGCTTCTTCCAGAGCTTCGTAGATCTGGCCCATCTCTCTCAGGAGATGCTCAATTCCCAGGGTAGAGTCACTGATCTCTTTGGAAACAGCTTGTAGCTCAGCCTCCCAGCGTCTGAGGGAGTCTCTCTTTGACAGCTTCTGCTTCTCTGTTCGCACCTGAGCCAACAGAAAACGGTGCCTCTGGTGGAGCTTTTCTAACTCTCCTGTGGTTAGTTGGTCCATTAACATGCTCAGCCCCTGCAGAAAGTAGAGCTCTGTGTGGGTCTCTGGATGTGACTGAAGACTTTCAAACAGAGACTTCATCAGGTCATTAAGGTTAATAACTTTGTGGTACTGTTCACAACGTGTTATCTGCTTTTCCTTCTCAATCTCATTCGTGTATTGCTCAATGCTCCTGTTTCCTTTTTCTCTGAGCTGATGGAGTTCCTTATCCTTTTTACACCAATCACGCCATAGACCTCCCTGAAGTGGTAGTAACTTCTCCTTTATCTCAGGTAATTTCACTTTTCTCAAGATGTCCATTAGGATGTCTGCTTTTTTCCCTGCTTCTTGGCAGCCTCTTTGGTCCTCATCAATAATAAATTCATACTTCCTAGCAATGTTGGCCCAATCACTCAAACTGTAAGGAGATCCAGACTTCTTCAGCAACTGTGTTAAAGTAGCTGTAATTTTATCAGCTAGTTCTATCTTATTTAGGTTCTTGATCCCAATTCTCACTTTGTGAGCAGAATTCTCATCCATAATATTTTCTGCATTTTCGAACAAACAGATAAGAGGTTTGGGTGAATTCCAAAATTCGAGTAGAAGGGAACTAGTCATTTTGTCAAAATTGGAAGTTGACAGGAGAATGACAGTGACTGAGGAGACCTGCTGCAGGAACTTAACCTGCCTCTCATGTATTTCAGCATTTCCATGGAGATTGGTGAAGGCAATACAGTTTTCAAATCTGTCCTCAGCTCTCCCACCTGGGCAGAACCAGCAGATTTCCACCATACCATCTATCAATAGACATCTATTATTGTCTTCCCTAGAATGGTGGGAGGAAAAATGGTCATGTTTGCCTTTACTCAGGAGTGCATTCAAAATCTGAGACTTGGAAGTAGAGACATAATTTCCAACTCTTATGAAAGATATAATATGTATAGGTTGCCAACTAATCAGCTGGTTATTATAATTCCTAATTTTTTTCTCCCATCCTATTTTTTCCACCTCTCTCCAGCTTCTCCTGAGTTGCCTGAGAGACCAAAGAGGGAATTCAATTTGGGAATTGCAAGGATTTGGCACCAAAAGTGGGAGAGCGAATTGGCAAATGGAAAGTTTGGTGAAAATATACTGCCTTGTAAAGTCATCTGCACAGTGAAAAATTGCCATTTGTATGTCCATTGGGTGGATGCAAATTTGTACTGCATTTGATTGTGTTTCCTTGATAATGAAAAAGTTCTCAAATGTTCTTTCTTGTTCTGTGGTTCTCAGTGTCTGGGACACAGTAGATATTGTATCTATATTACCTCTGTAAACTAGATATCGCAAATGGTAATCTAATACCAAAAGTTTCTCTAGAAAACAAAATGGTGGCTCTGTTTCAGCTCTTGGTTGAGTGCCATGGAGGGAGGTCTTATTTATCAAAAGAGAATTGACTTTGGCCATCTTCTTGGGATAATAACTGTCCAGATTAAGCCGCCGAATCAAGTCATGAAAGTATTGATTTTTGGTTGTTACTTCCTTATCATTGCTTGGTTGAGGATCTCTGGGATAAGGTGCAGATTCATTGGATATTTTCTTTTGGTTAAAGATATTTCTAAATCTCTAGAAAGAAACAAAAACAGTGATAATGGCTAGTATCTCTCTATAGCAAGGAGACAATTAAGTTTATCATTTACGAATGTATAAATATATTTTTAGTTTTCCAAAAATAAATTGAGTCCTTCTATGTGCTAGGTAATGGGCTGATCAAGGGATGAATTATAATACAGGGTTCCACCTTGAAGGGCCAGAAGCAGAAAATGAGGATAGCAAGGAAAACTGAAAGGAAAATGAATTGGTTTTATTTAGTAACCATCAATTTTCATAATGCCCTCTTTATTACTAGTATTCTCATTTTGGAGGAGAATGGCTCGTGAAAATCAAGCAATGTTCCAGCGGTAACACAGAAGTGAGCAGCAGAGACAGGAGTCATAGCCAGATCTCTCTGGGATCTTGCTCTTCTCCAAAACAACTTGGAGAAGACATATCATAGTCATTCCATGTTAGCATCAACATGCTTCCGTTGATGCTAACATGGAATGACTATGATATATCTTGTAGGACATAGAAGCCAGTAAGCCCCTAAGATTTTGAGCATCCTATGGCCTGGACACTCCACTCTATTCCAGGGCAAAAATATCTGCCCCAGTGCAGATTACAAACCTTTGAGATAGTTAGTTGCTGTTTATCTTCATTTGGTCCTGCTTCATTCTCTTGCTTCCTCTTATTTGTCTTTTTTGCAACTTTTTGAGCAGAAGATCCATCTTTGGAGGGAAAATAATGTTCATTATTCTCACCATTAGTAAAACATGAAGTCAGAATTGCAGTGTTTTCGAAGCTTAGCCTCTTCCCCACCTACAATCACTAGTTTGATGCCAACAGCTTAACATGAATTCATCATTAGTGTCTTTTTCCCAAGGGTGAGCCAAGGAAAGATATGCATATTTTGTATTATGAGAATGGTCAGGAAATAAGAGTAACCATCTTGTGGGCTGAGAGGTGCAGGCTTTAAAAATGACACAAAAATAATAGTGATCAAATAAGGGGCCTGGGTCAAGTTAACTAGGGTATTACTGATAAACAGAGTTCTATTTATTCAGAAATCTCGGTCATAGCACATTGACTGACTTGGGGTATGGAGAGTGGAGGGGGTCTGATGGTTCTCAATAGTCAGGTTCTCTTCATCCTCAAAATTTCAAATTTTTTGAGAAAGGAAATCCAAGTAAAACCGTAAAAGACTTTCACAGCAGTCTTCCCTGAGGATGACAATTTTTTTTTTTTGCTACAAATGGTGATTTAAAGTAGTCAAATGTTTCTTCCATATCACTCCCCAAATATTGAGCATCTTGTTTATCAGAGCCTCATATTTCTAGGCTGCTCACAGATTATAACTGAATCTCCTACCTTGCGTCTCATGATAATGATAGTCTATGTAATAATCAGTCCTTGAAACAAAATGAAAGAGTCAGGCAGATTGAGATTAAGGTTTGGTCAAGAATAAGGTCAGTATCCAGCTAATGACCAAGTTTCGAGGTTCAGAACAAACATATTTGTGGGTATATTTTGTAGCTAAGTAGAAGATCAGTCTGTGGCAGTCTGTGAAACTTCACCTTCACCAGTGATAGAGTTAAAGGACATTAGTCTTCACCTCAGAAAGGCCTGCCAACATCACTAATAACTAGGGAAATACAAATCAAAACTACAATGAGATATTACCTCACATGCATCAGAATGGCTATAATTAACAAGACGAGAAATAGTAAATGTTGGAGAGGAAGTGGAGAAAAGGGAACCCTCATACACTGCTGATGGGAATGCAAACTGGTGCAGCCACTATGGAAAACAGTTTGGAGATTTCTCAAAAAATTAAAAATGAAAATACCACATGACCCAGCAATTCCACTACCGGATATTTATCCAAAGAAAATGAAATCAACAATACAAAGAGATCTATGCACCCCTATGCTCATTGCAGCATTATTCACAATAGCCAGGATGTGGAAGCAGCTCAAGTGCCCATCAACTGATGAATGGATAAAGGAGATGTGCCATATATATACAGTGGGATACTACTCAGCCATAAAAGATGACAAAATCGTCTCATTTGCAATGACATGGATGGACCTTGAGGGCATTATGTTAAGAAGATATAAGCCAGAAAGAGAAAGACAAACACCATATGATTTCACTCCTATGTGGAAGATAAACACATGGATAAAGAGAACAGATTAGTGGTTACCAGAGGGTGAAGGGGTGGGAGAGTGGGCGAAGAGAGTAAAGGGGCACACATGTATGGTGACAGATAAAAACGAAGCTATTGGTGATGAGCACGATGCACTCTTTACAGAAATTGAAATATAATAGTGTACACCTGACATTACACAATGTAATAAACCAATATGACCTCAATAAAATAAAAAAAATTAAAAAAGAAAGGCCTCCCAAGTTTCCAGCAAGAGAAATAGGGGGAAAAAACCTACTTCACTGTACATTTTAGAACCCTAACATAAAGACCCTAACATCATCTGGGGCAGGGGTGGGGTGGTCAAGAGACCACTCACAAAAGAATGAAAATCAGGCTGACATTAGACTCATTATCAGTAAGCAATAGAGACAAGTAGTTCTTTCAAAATAATAAGGTAAAAGGATTTTAGACCTAAACCCTTCAATCCAACCCAGTTACCTTTTAAGCTTGAGAATAGACTAAAATTATTTTCAGAAAGATTACTATCCACATACCTTTTCTTAGGAGGACTCTAGAAAGGAATTATCTAAAAAACAAATGGAGGAATAGAGAAGTCTACTCACTTTATAGGATATTTGAGATATTGGAAGCACATAGGATGTGATGAAGATGTACAATGCCAAAAAAACACAAAATACGGCAATGAGAGATTTCCATGAAAGCAAAAAATAAAACCAAAAGTTAAAACGTAATAACTGAACTCGAGTTTGTTACGACTAAAATTTATATGTGTATAATAGTGTAAATTATTGACTTTCAACTTTTAGAAATATACTATAAATAAGAGATGTAAGTTTTTATCATGATTCTAAGATAGAAAGTAAAGATTTCCAACTTTGACCATGTAAAGTATAAGTGTTTTGGGGAGTTTCAAGATACTGCCTCTCATAATGGACCAAATTAAAAAGTTAAAAAAATAAAATTCAGGTATAATCTGTATATAAACTAAAAATACTGTTATAATTCTATGGGGAAGAAAGTGGGTAGGAAGCGAGAGGTGGCATAGTTGAGCAAAAGACTTGCCTATAATGGCAGGAAATCAATGAACGATGCCTAATATTGATAAATCTATGAAAGAGTGGTAAAAGCGTACTATTTAGAGATATTGCAGTCACCACCAAAAGAAAAATTGAGATAAAAGGGGTTATTTTGGGAGAGAAGGGTCAAAGTAATGTTCTGTATGCTTTAGTTTTTAAGTATATTCATGAATTATTTTATTAAACAAATTGAAAATATATATTTAAAAATATTTTTAAAGTAATAACATTTTTCTCTACAAATTAAGATTTAAAAATTACTATATTTCCTGTTGGTGAGAGGCAGTAAGATGGCCATGCTCATACACTGTATATGTCTAAATTGATACAGTAGTTCTGGAAAATTATTTGAAGATATATATGTATATTCACAAATGTATATATATACACCCTTTGACTCATGTATTTCAATTTTAGGAATTTAAGGGAATGAAATAAAATGAGCACTAAGATCTATCATGAAGATATTCATGATATTCACAGCATTATGCATCATGTTATTTTGGAAACAACAAAATGTCTGAAATGGCATTTTGGCTACAGAAAAAATTATTTACAAAGCACCAATAGGATGGGATAATATGTAGGCATTTAAAATAGTACTTACGAATTACAGTTTAATGCTATGGGAAATGTTTTAAGCCAAAAAACAACCTCTAATGATATAAAACTGTACCTACAGTATAATCTAGGTGAAGAAAAATTTATTAAACATAAAGTGAGGACATGCGCCACATTGTTTGTTGTGTGAGTCTGTTGGGGTCATGACTGATGTTTTTATTCTTTTGTTTCATATTTGTGTCCCAATGTTTATTGAGCACAAATTACTTTGACAGTTAAAAAATCAATAATATGATCAATAAGAACTAAGGGGAAAAACGCACAGTGAATTTGGATGAAGAGGCTAGTACTTTCAGCTGAGGTGGAACAGGAATAGCTTCTCGAGGTAACATTTCAGTTGAGCCTTGAATGTGGGCAGGAGATAAGACTATGAAGGTCACAGCCCAGTGGCACAGGCTCATTAAAAGACTGAGAGGTAATCATTGGCTATAGAATGCTTCTTCTGCCCTCCACCTTACCACCACATCAATAAGGTTTCTGTATAATAACAGGGGAATACAACTGAAAGGACTACATCTCTCTGACCCTATTTAAGAAGGAGTCTCTAGGGAAACCCAAAGACAACAGGGAGACAAAAACAAGGACATTAGAGGAAAGTTTAGCCTCTGACACCACAGCTGCAGCAAACAGTAAGCACAGCCTAACTCCTAGCCAGACAAATATAAAAACTCACAATAAAGTCCTATCTACCTCAGTTTCTTTTACCCAGCACATCATGTCTGGCTTTCAATAAAAAGTTACAAGGCACATAAAAAGACAAAAAATGCAGTTTGAAGAGACAGAGCAAGCATCAGAATCAAACTCAGGTATGGCTGAGATGTTGGAATTATGGATATGAATTTTATCTCAATAAATAACTTTTAAAAGCACCATGACACACAGTTCCTTTTAAATTTTATGCTGTCAAAGTGTGTGTTGAATTAATTAAGAAATGAAGATTTCAGGGAAGGAGTTGAGTTATATCCAGCCAAGAGAGGGTTGGGTTAGATCTAGACTCACATTTTTCCATTGACTGATGGAGCTTCTCCAACAGGCTACGCTGGTTTATGGCTTTCAGGACCTCCTGGGTCACAGTCTTGGCATATTCCTCCCCATAGTACCGGATCAGTAGATCAGCAAGTGTCACTGGGGTTGCTTGCTGGACAGTGCCCCTAGGAATGTGGTTGTATCCCTCAGAAAGAGCTATGTTTGTGAGTTGGAACTTGAACTTTACCGACTCCTCCTCTAAAAGGTCCTCAAGGATGTTAAGAAGGTGTGCCTTCAATGTGCTTTCCATTCTGTTCAGCTGAATGTTGGGAGACTGATGACCCTATAGTTACTGACCTGAAATGGAGAGATGGTTATAGATAATCATAGGAAAGATGGGAAAGACATATGAAACAAATGGTTTAAGAGAAGTGAGAGAAAGAAGTGGAGGTGAGATCAGAGACTGTCTTGCTGAAAAAAACTTTAAGCCCCCAAATATGTGCTGATGGTACATATTCCTTACACACAGGATATTCTTCAAAGCTTCGGGGCTACTTACCTTTATTCCTCCTCCATACTATTGTGCTCCACCTCTAGAATTCCTAAGATTCTCTATTGGAATATGTTTGTTTGTGGGGAATGGGATGAAATAGGGGGCTTATGGAGATTGGTGTTATGCTGAAAAAAGGAAGGAGAAAGATAGAAGTATTGTTCTCCAGTAGGTAGGAAAAAAGTAAGAGGATTATGGGCAATTATAGTGAATCAAAGTTTAAAAGAGAATTGAGGACATATCTAGTTCCATTACTTGTGTGTGTTGAGTGGATTGAGAGATATTTTAGGAGATTCAATTTGCATATGAAAATTAGAAAAAATAAGAGAGGTGTGGAAAATCACTTTTCTGATTCCTTGGTAACTACAGGATCCTCAACTTTTTCCTATACTTCTAGCTCCTTCTAGCCACTACTTTGCCTTATGCTGAAAGATAACTCTCCTAGGTAAGCATGTATTTGAGGCTAATGCCATTATTCTCATTACATCTATTATATCAGCAATGCCACTGTCTTCTCCAATATCTCATCTCTCTCCTGTCTATTCTTGGAGTTACTATAACATGTCCTTTCCTTTCCAACGGTTGTTTTGATTTTACCCAAAAGATGTGATGCTATCTAACTTTCAACTCTCACGATTATTATTATGCTTCCAGTTTGTTTTGTTATAGTTGTCTATGTACTTCAATTATTTTTTTCTGTTAGATAGAAAACACTATTAATTAAACAGGTAACTGATATGCATTGAGCATCACTTACATTCTGGGCACTATGGCAGGTACTCTGCACAATTTACCTCATTTATTTTTAACAAAAAAATTAGGTATTATTCTCTATTTTATAGGCAAGAAACCCAAGAGCGAGACAAAGTAAGATTTTCAAGGTTACACAGTTTGCAAGTGAAAGAATTAAAATTCACACAAATCTTTCCAGTTGTAAAACCATGATCTTTTCAATATTTCCAACAGATAATATATTACTCATCATTGTGTACACTTCAGTACAGATCAGAATAGTTGTTTAAATAATCATAATTGTCAAAAGACTTTAATTTTTGCTTCTTCCTCCTCTCATTCCTGAAAAATATCACCTGAGATTTATTTGTTACTTTCTTACTTTCAGTACCAAAAAGCACCTCAAGTAATTGTGTAGCACTCACCATGCACCATACAATGATCCATGTGCTGGCTGTTCAATTATGAACAAGAGATACAGACTCCCTTTCCATAAAGAACTTTCATCCCAGGACAGGGTAGGATGTGGGGTGTACATGAGAAAGACAATAAAAATATTAATATGATTATTTCTGCTATGAAGATGATGGAATAAGGTGATGTGGTAAAGCAGTACTAGGAGTTGGAGGATAGCGGACTTTTGGGAAACACTACTCTCAAGATGTGACAGTTAAGTTTGAACCTGAAAGAAGATAAGAAGGCTGATATGTGAAGAACTTGGAGGAGAACCTTCCAAGAATAAGGAAGAGCAAATGGAAAGGCCTGAGACAGGAGCCAGTTTTTGTTTTGGGGAGGGGGCATAGAAAAAAGGCCACTGTGGCTGGAATAAAATTGAAAACAGGAGAGGGAAGAAGATGAAAGCTAAAAGTTGTGATTCATATTCTACCTTTTAGGTCATAATAAGGATTTTAACTTTTAATCTATGTGTCATGGAAAGCAGCTGGAGCATTTTAAACTTGGGGACATTATGTGGTTGAGCTTTAGGAGGATCACCGTGTCTCCTGGATGAGGATGGAGAATAGGAGTTACCAGGAAAGAGGCAGTGGTAACAGTTAAGAGATTCTTACAATGGTCTAAGGAAGATGGAGACTTGGACTAATGTTTTGGCAAGGAACATAATGAGCAATGGTCAAATTCAGGGTTTATGCTATAGGCATAACCAACTGGGATTATTGATGGATTTGTTGTGTGTGTGAAGGAAAGTGAGGAATCAAGGATGATATAGTAGGCAGGATTCTAAGATGCCCCCCTGGTGTACATGCCCTGAACAATTCCTTTCCCTTTAGTGTGGGCACAACCTGTAAATAACATAGGATATGACTTTTGTGGTTATGTTACTCTATATGGCAAAAGAGAGATTATCCTTGATAGTCCTGACTGAATCAGGTGGGCTCTTAAAGGAGACAAGAAGCAGCAGCAGGTGTGCTCCTGAGGATCTGGAAGAGAGCATGTGGGGAACTGCCTGTGTGGGCCATGTGCCCAGGGGCTGAGACTGATCCCAGCTGATTGCCAGCAAGAAAATGGGGACTTCAGTCCTACATCTGTAAGAAGCTGAATTCTGCTAACAATCTAAATGAACTTCGAAGAGGATCCTGAGTTCCAGATGTGAACTGCGGCATGACCAACACTGCAGTCCTTTGAAATCTTGCGCAGAGGACTTAGTTAACTCAAACCCAGACTCTTGACCCATGGAAACTGTGAAATAATAAACAGATGTTGTTTTAAGCTGCTAAGTTTTTTTTGTAATTTGTTATGCAGAGATTGAAAATCAATACAGATGATTTTTAGGACTTTGATCTGAACAAATAGGTTGATGACAGAGTCATGCTCTGAGATGGTCAAAGTTTATTACATGAGCAGGTTGGGGGCCATATTTAATTTGCAATACCAGTTAGGCAGGTAAAATGGAGATGGTAAGTAGATAGAAGTAAGGCATACCTTTTAAGCGATGGGTTCAATTTTGAGATATTGATTAGAGAGTTGTCCGTATATGGTATTTAAAAGCATGAGACTGGTAAGTTTGGTTAGGGAGAAAGTATAGATAGAAATGAAAGAAGGCCCCTGGAGGTGCACAACATTCCAACATATAGAAGAGAGTTTAAAGGAGACTGAAAAGAAGCATCAAGGGAGGAGGAGCTGGGGGAACATGACACATTTGGGATCCCTAAAGCCCAGAGAAGGAAATGTGTCAAAAAGGAAGGTGCAATCAACATATTAAATCCTTCTGAGAGGTCAGGAGGATGAGGATAGAGAACTGATCATTCTGTTTTCTAAGATGAAAGTCCCTGATGACCTTGATAAAAGCCATGTCCATGGATGGGGGAAAAAGCCCAGTATAAGTGAGTAAAGAGAAAATTTGAGATGAGGAGGTGAAGTCAGCTAAATCTCTCAATACTTTTTGCTCTTAAGAGAAGCAGAGGAAAGGAGCTGTCATAGGCATAGACCGTATACTCAAGGAAGTTTTGTTTATGTGTTTGTTTTAGGTATTAGTAACATCAAGGCATTTGATAGGAATGAGCCGGTAGGGAGGGAGAAATAATGTATTAGTTTCCTGTTGCTGCTATAAAAAATTATCATAAACTTAGTGGCTTAAACAGCAGAAATTTATTGGCTTATAGTTCTGGGGGCCAGAAGTCTGAAATGAGTCTTCTGGGGATAAAATCAAGGTGCTGGCAGGGTTAGCTCCTTCTGGAGCAAGCTCCAGGGGAGAATCTATTCCTTACCTCGTCTAGTTTCTACCAGCATCCCTTGGCTTGTGGACTCATCATTACAATGTCTATTTCTGTGGTCACATTGCCTTCTCTTCTGTAGTAAAAATCCCATCTACCTCCCTTTTATGTGATTACATTTAAGGAGTTCTTGGATAATTCAGAATAATCCCCCTATCCTAAGATCCTTAACTTAATCACCTCTGCAAATTCCCTTTTCCTATATAAAGCAAAGTTTACAGATTCCAGGGACCAGGACACATATCTTTTGGGGAGGGTCATTATTCAACCTGTCACAGGGATAAAGAAAACATTGTGTGTGTGAGAGAGAGCAGACTAATGTTTTGATCCAAGTAGGAAATGATGAGGGTCAAAGGTAGGACTATGTTAGGAGGGACAGGGAAAAGATATAGAATTAAAAACTATTTAAGGGTTTAAAATATCAGGATTTTTTTTTATTGTTTGTAGAAATGGAAGTGTAGGAGATCTTGAGGGTGATTCCTAGGTTGATACCTAACTGGGTAATTTACAGAGATGGGCGAATACAAGGTATGGGGCAGATCTGGGGGTGGAGGAAGAAAATTGATTCAGTTTGATATATTGTTTGAGATTAATATAATGGTTCACATGGGTGCTTTGTATTTTCCAGATACTTTCTAAGTACTTCACATGTATTGTTTAATACTTATAACAACCCTAGGAGACAAGTATTATTATATCCATATTTTATCGATGGTGAATCAGAAATGTAACTTGTTCAAGGTCCTATGATAGTCTGATTCTAGAACCAGTGCCCTTAACCACATCAATATCCTAGTGGAGAAGCCTACTCTTAAGCTGGTTACACAGTCCTGCATTCCAGAAACTTGTCTGGGCTGAAGAATTGGTTTAAGAAATCATGAGCATGTAGATAACAATCAAAACCATAAGAAAGAGATGCAATCATTCAGGGAAAATACGCTAAGAGAGAAGATTAGTAGGCCAAGGGCCCTATTTTTGCAGAGCTGATATCCAGCTGTCAGGCGGTGGATGAACTTCTCAGCTATTAAATATAGAGATACAAGGGCCAGCCGGTGCAGTGGATAGGTGCGCGTGCTCTTCTTTGGTGGCCCAGGGTTTGCCAGTTTGCATCCTGGGTGCGGACATTCGCACTGCTTATCAAGCCGTGCTGAGGCAGGCATCCCACATATAAAATAGAGGAAGATGGGCACAGATGTTAGCTCAGGGCTAATCTTCCTCCAAAAAAAAATATTGAAATACAGAGCATTCATACTGGTGACAAATAGATTCTTTTCACACACCAGTTGTCCCACCACCACCCTAGCTTCCCAGGCTCTGAGGAACCCTGGGTGGGCTCTTGTAAAGAGGATTATTCACTATTTTATTTCTTAAATGAGCATTTGTTGACTATACTCTATGTTGCTGTGGCAGATGATGAGGAGTACAAGAGAAATGGGACACGTTTCCTGTACTTAAGAGATTTGTGAAAAATGGCAGACACAAACATGGCATTAAAGTGATTAAGCTTGAATGCAATTATTTTATAGTGTGGTATAAGAGTCCAGAGGATATAGCAATTATTGTCATTCATTCATTCAGTTCATTCACTCAACATGTATAAAAAGCTATTTTAAGCATCTGCCATATGCCAGGCATTGTATGTTGGGGATTCAAAGACTAATAAGACAAAAGTCCCACTCCTCAAGTGCTCAGTGTCTAGTGGATGACATGGGCACAGACTGATTTGCATATGTGTTTTAGGACAAAGATAGATACAGGTAGAGGACATGGTGGAACATAATGGGAGCAATAGCCAGTTTTCTCCAGTTCCAGTGACAATGACAACCAAAAATGGGCCCAGACTCCAGTAAGTTGGTAGACAGATGAGTTCTTACACAATCTTTAGGAAATTCTGAGTTTCATGGGAAATTGCCTTAGGGATTGTCTAGCCCGCCCCTCCATTTTGCAGATAAGAAATCTAGGACTTAGAGGTAAGCTGTGATCAGCTTGTTTCACACAACATGATAGGGGATGAGCTACAAGTTCTATCCAGTCTCTGAGGCTGTCCAGAGACCTCCCTTTGGTCTCACACTGCCTGTCCCTTGTCGAGTTCAGGCTGACCCAAGTTGCAGTTGCACTTTGATGTTTGTATGTCCTCTGCACACTGTTCATTTTACCAAGGATAATTCAGCCTTGGAGTCCTTGATGAGGACTCTCCCCCAGGGTTCCTAAATTTGAGCAAAGAGCCCTGAATCATGTTCTTAAAGCAGGACCTTACCAAATTTTAAGACACAGAAGATACAGACAGAAAGACAGAGAGTGACACAAGTGAGACAGAGAGAGATAGGAACAGAGCAATAGAGAATGATGAACAGAGACACACACACACACACACACACACACACACACACACACTCAGAGAGAAGGTGCGGGGGAAGACTCAAATGGAGAAGGAAAGCAAAGAGCAGGAAGAAGAAGACTTTCATAAATACTACAGGAGAAAAAGTAGACTTGTGGCCTCCCAGGCCTCTCTCAGTCACATGTGCTCCCTTCTCTCTCTTGGGGAAAAGGGAAGCTAATTCTACTATGGGCCCCTGAGGGACTAGGGTACTCACCGGTAAGAATTCTAGATCTTCCTCCAGTTCAGTCAAACCAGGGGATGGAAGGTTGCTCTGGCAGATAGAAATTTGCCTGTCTTTCTGGAGACAGTCTGTAAACTCTAAAAAACTAGTTTCAGTTTTTCCAATGTGATTGATGAATGTGGGGTGTGGTGAAACCAGCTCCACAAGCACTACCAGCTCACACCTACTCACCTGCTCCTGAGAGGACAAGAGGAAAGCCAGAGGTGTTATCTTACCCCTGATTTCAAACTTCATCAAATGAATCTCACTACCTATCAAATTAAGTCCAATTTTGGGGTTTAAGATCTTCACCATCTAGGGGCTGGCCTGATGGTGCAGCGGTTAAGTTCGCACATTCTGCTTTGGTGGCTTGAGGTTCGCCGGTTCAGATCCTGGGTGCAGACATGGCACCAATTGGCATGCCATGCTATGGTAGGCATCCCACATATAAAGTAGAGGAAGATGGGCATGGATGTTAGCTCAGGGCCAGTCTTACTCAGCAAAAAGGGGAGGTTTGGCAGTAGTTAGCCCCGGGGTAATCTTCCTCAAAAAAAAAAAAAAAAACACAACAAAACTTCACTATCTATTGAGTGGGTTAGAGCATAGATTAGATTCAGACTGATCTGAGTTTAATCCCTGTGTGATCACTTGCTAGTTGAATTAGGGTAAGTGACATAGCTTTTCAAAGTCTCTGTCTTCTCATTTGTGTAATGGAAATAATAACAGCACTTCTGTCCTAGGTTTGCTTTGAAAACTAAATAAAATAATCATGTAAATCACATAGCATAGTGTTCGGCCTTTAATTAGTACTCAACAGAGGTTAGCTATTATTTGTCTTATAGTGTGGAGCCCTATTGAAGAGGTCCCTTAGGAGGGAGACACCTCCCTTAATGTCAGAAGTTTACCGTAGAGTTGTTGATGTTGGCACCCATTATCCTTACCTGGGGAATATAATTCTGGTTTTGAGAGCTTAAAAGAACACCTTCCCCATTCCTTATCTGAGGGCTAAAAAGAAAATCAGTTTCATTCCTTGGGTAGCAATGGTGTTTCTGGATCCTTGAGACAGTGGACACCAGGAACAGAACTGGCCCAGCAACCTTGAGCAGTGACTGTGGATATTAACTGACAAAGCTGGTACTAAAAGTGTAACGCTCTAGGTTTTTGGCTGGTAAGAAGTGATGACATACCTGCTAAACAACAGCCTGTCCCACAGACCTGCTGTGAAAGGGCCAGTGCCAGCAGCTGCCACTGCCTTTCACTGTCCAGCAAGAAGAACCTGAAGACATGGCCAATACCACACCTCCCTGGAGACCCAGAGACTCAACAACTGCCCGTGCCTCAAGAAGTCCCTTTCTTCCTGCCATGTTCTAGAGTCATCTATTCAGTCTTCAGTTCCCAGCAGTACTGGACCACTGTGACTGAATCCCCCTAAAATATCAGGGTATTTAAGGAGTGTCAATTGGGAGGGCCCTGGCCAGTTTTCTTGGAAGCCCAAACTCTGAGCATGCGATTTGATAATAGTTTGAGATGTTAACTTACTGTCTGCAGGTATTTCCTCCCAATCCATTTTTAACCTCATTCAAAGAAATTACTACATCTATGAATAGCAGTTTCAGGGAATGCATGAAGCAGGACAGAAAATATACATTTTAATACAAATTGAGATCATAGGCTTCCATAAATTAAAGTATCTTAAAGAAATATTAAGTATTTTTCCCAGACCAAAGGAACATTCACCCAAAGGGGAAGGAGAAAGAGAGAGAAGTAAAGGAGATGTGAAGGTGCCATGAAAGAGGAAACAGGTACACTGATTTTTGTCACACTGGATGCAAGACCCTGAAGAGAAAGGGATGTGTGATGCATCTAGTCATAAGAGTTGAAAAATGGCCTTGCAGAAGATTTCTTCCATCTTCCAAACATGTTATGGAAGCATCATAGAGATGAATGTCTCATTGGAAATCTGTGGGACCAATGATCAAGGTATAATTCCCCTCCTCCTGATGCATTGGCATGGTGTAAGATCTGGAGACAGCGGCATAAACCTGGGGGAGAAAGAGAGATATACCAGAATGAACCAAAGTTAAAGTTAAACAAAGTAAAAGTTAAAGTCATCAAACTTAAGGCTGGAATTTAGAACTTATGTTGTATATAGAAAAATTAAGAAACTTTGACTCACGCATCCTTCAGTAGAACTACCCATTCCTGTAATGAAACTATCTTATCACCCAGAGCAACTC